CCTTTCCTTTCCTTTCCTTTCCTTTCCTTTCCTTTCCTTTCCTTTCCTTTCCTTTCCTTTCCTTTCCTTTCCTTTCCTTTCCTTTCCTTTCCCCATTCCTTTTTCCTTACTCTTTCTTTCTTTCCCCCTTTTCCTTTCTTTCACTTTCAATTTTTCCCCCTTCTGTTTTTTCCTCCCATTTCCTTCCATTAGTTTTCCCTTTCCCTTTTTTTTCATCCACCTTTCCTCTTTCTTTTTTCCTTCCCCTTTTCTCTCTTTCCCTCCCTTTCTCCTTTTCACCCCATCCCTTTCCTCTTTTATTCTTTCCCCACTCTCCCCTTTTCTCACCCCATTCCAGCAGCTCCCCCTTTTCACATCCCACCTATTCCCACTCCACTCTCTCTGATTCCCCTGGACCACAGAAAATGTGGGAAAGGCAGGGATCATCTGGGATGATGCTGCGCTTTGGCTCCCACCAAACTGGAATTCCTGACACTGCACTGATTTCTGCATCTGGATCCCAGGGAAGGCCGGGCAAGGAGCTTTTCCTTGGGAAGGAGCACTTTCCCGCAGGGTTTTCCTCCCACCAGCATTACAATGAATGCTCTTATCTCTGTTGGAAAACAGATGGAATGGAAAGGTGGGGATGTGATTCTTGCCCCGCTTCCCAAGGCAGCAATACTGAGAGATCTGGGAGCCCTTGGAATGCTTTGCTTATGCCTGCTCTGTGCTCCCTGCTCCCACTCTCCCTACCCGCTCCTTTATTTATTCAGCTAATGGATATGGAGTCCGTGGCAGCAGGAGTTGGGATAAATCGGGATTCATCCATGTCCTCATCCTTCTTAAAGGCCAAGATTCCCATCTCCGATTGCCTCTTTGTGTCTGTCCTCGGCAGCGATACCTGGGTCACGCTCCAGTAATTCCCGACAGGAATGGAGACATGGCCTGGATATGGATCCTGGCTGGGATATGGATCCTGCTGGCCCTCATGGAAACAGCAGTAAAATCACAACAGCACCTCGGGAATGCTGAGTTTCCCAGGAATTTCAGGGATGCATGAGGGGGTTTCCTGAAGTTGAGCACAGGAAAGGCTTTGGAGAGGAGGAAAAATTCCGTCAGGAAAATCCCATAAAAGTGAGCGGGCATTAAACCCCTTCCAAGGCTTTTCTGAAATGCCCCACCTTGGAGCTCCGGGATCCACAATGGAAGGAAAACAGGGAAGGGATTAAAGTTTGGATGCACAAATCCATTTTGGAATCATTCCTGGGAATGGGGGGGGGGGGAACAAATCCAGCAGCTCTGGGTGGAAAAAGGAGACAGAAGGTGGGAATTGCTTCCAAAGGGGCTTTTCCAGGACTCTCTGTCCCCTTGGGTCTGATCAGAGCCATCATTCCCAAACCCATAAAATCCCTGCAGATGTTGAGCTGATGGCAGACTTGTTTTTTTGGAAGCATCCAGAGGAAATCTCCAGTTTGGGAAGTCACTGTTTCATCCCTGCTTTTCCCTTTGTTTCCTCTGCTTCCACACCCTCTTCCCCATAAATTTCCAATGTGGATTTTTAGGGGAAAAAGGAAAAAGACTGGGAAGGGCCTTTTCCATAAGGAAAGGCAAAAAATCACTGCGTGACCAGGAGAAATTCCTATGAGGAAAGATCCTCCAAGGAATAAATCCAGCAGGAAGCAGGTGCTGGAGCAGGGCTGCTTTTCCCGGCACAAGGATGTGAGAAGAAGGAAAACGAGGAGCAGGAGGAGGAGGAGAAGGAATTCATCACTTGGGATGACGAGAGCTGCTCAAATGGGATCGGGCTTTACGCAGGAATAAAAGCCCTGGAATGGGGTGGATCTCCTGAAGTGCCTCTTAACCTTTTCCCTATTCTGTTCCTAACGGGAAAACAAATCCCACCAGGAGTTCTCCTCACAAGGGAAGAAGAAAGGAGCATTATCCAGCTCTCCAAGGTGTTGGGATTCATGGAAAAGGAGATGTGTGAGAAGGGAGAAATGGACAGGACAGGGGAGCTTGCTCCAAGCTCTGGATCATCCCATGGATAAGGCAGGAATTTCAGCTGGTTTTAAGGCAGGAATATTCTTCATCCATCTGAAATTTGGGATATTTGGGATCAGGAATAGCTCCTGCTGGGATGAGGAGAGGGATAACCACCTGGATGTTCAAGAGGCTGATCCCGTGGGATCATATGCAGGAATGAGCAAGGGGGCTGGAATAAGGAAAGGTTTGTGGATCAGTGGGGTTTGGGAAGGGTTTGGAATGCGCCAACATTTGGAATGGGGTAGGATTTAGGATGTAGCAGGGTTTAGGGTGTCAGAGGGTTTGGGATACAGCGGATTAGAGAAGCAGCAGGATTTGGGATAGAGTGAGGTTTGGGATATGGCAGGGATTGGGATATGGCAGGGTTTGGGATAAGGCAGGATTTCGGATACTGCAGGTTTGAGATTCAGCATGGTGTGGGATTCAGCAAGATTTGGGATATGGCAGGATTTGGGATAAAGAAAGTCTTGAGAATCCAAACACTCTAGAATTCAGAGTCTCCAAATGTGCACTGTGGGACACAGGCCACTGTCCCAGGCTCTGCTCCCAGATCCAAAGGGGGCCAGGAGCCATATCCATACTCTGGCAGGGAGCTCAGGCAGACCCAGCATATTTTTCCCGGTTACTCATTAACTGCAGTTCCTTTGACAGGATCAATATTCCAAGCAAACACTTGAGCAGCCCCACTCTGCTTCCCTCTCCTCGGCAAAATAATTTATTCCCGAAAATGCAGCTGCCTGGAAAAGCGGCTCCGGGGAAAGGGGAGGGGGATTTATCGGTGGGATATGCAAAGCACATTTATTCTGGCTTTTATCTCTCCCATTCCATGTTGATCCCATCCATACAGATGAATTTGGGGCAGGTAGATAATGAAAAGTCAAGTGGAAAATTTACACAAAGGCGCTCCCGGCTCCTGATTTTCCAGAGGCATTGGAATTGCTTTATTCCTTCATTCCTTAAAGCAGGATTTTAAAGCTTTCAAACATTTTATGTCTAACGCAAATCCATTTAATTCCTACCTGGAATTTTTTCCAGCATCAATTTCCTCATTAATTACCAAGGATATTTGGATTAAACATGATCCCGCTCCTTCTCCCACTGATCCATCTCCGTCTCCTTCCTGGTGTGCCCGAAGTCCTACCGGAGCTTCCCTGCCACCAAAACCTCTGAACCCATTCCTTAATTCCCTGTAAGAGGCATTTCCTTGGGCCAGGCACTTAATGGAGGGCATAGGATGGGAGAGTACAGCTCGGAACAAAAAAAAATTCTGGAAAAAAACTGGGAGAACCGTTATTAATAAACATCTCCTGGCCATTTGGAGGCTGCTCCAGCTTAAAGCAATTAATTCAGGATCCGGACATAAACTCTCCAGCTCTTTGACAGCTTGGAGCTGGAATAAAAATGCCAGTTCTCCAGGGAAAAGCCAGGATAGCTGGCTCTTTTCCGGACTGTTTGCTCACAGGCCCAGGGAGCAATCTTCCTGCGGAATGAAATGCAAGGACACAAACAATGTTCCAGGGAGAGAATGGGAGATGGGAATGAACAGTTTGAACTATTTGCTCAGCAGAAGGGCGTCCACAATGCCGGGCCCATGGATTTTCCATGGATCACCCAGCTACCCAATCCCTTTTGTTGTGGAGCCCCGGCCTCCGGCCAGATAAGGGCACAGCTGCAGCCCTTCCCTGATTCCCTGATTCCCTTATCCTGCTGATCCAGGAAAAGCTGCCTCCGCTGGCATTCCCGAGCCAAGATCCGGGCTCTGGTCCATGGCTTTTCCATGGATCCTGAACCCCTTTTGTTGTGGAGCCCCTTCCTCCAGCCAGGTAAAAGCACAGCCCTTCCCTGATTCCATGGATCCAGCAAAAGTTGCCTCTGCTGACATTTCCGCACCCTTCAGTTGGTGTCGTTGGGAATGGCCAGGAAACCCTTTTGGGACAAGGAAAGGTTTTAGGGGCAGGGAAAACCTTTGGGGGCAAGGAAAACTCTTGGAGCAAGGGAAAAGAAAACACTCTTGGATAAGGGACAGAAAACACTCTTGGAAAAACCAAGAAAAACACTCTTGGAAACCTCTTGGGGCAAGGAAACATTTTAGGGAAAGGAAGCACTTTGGGCAATAAAAACCTCTTGGATAAAGGGAAAATCCTCTTGGATAAAGGAAAACCTCGTAGGGCAAGGAAGCCCTTTTGGGCAAGGAGTTCTGTCCTCATTCCAAGCAAGCTGCAGGAATGCCACATTCCAAGGGATATTTCCAGCCTGGGATGGAGATGCAGAGCTGCCAAATGCAGAAATCCATATTTATTTAGGGCACAATGAGCCTGGAATGGGAAAATCCTAAATAGTCCTTCCTAGGAGATCTATCTGGGAGCCAGATGAGAAACACTGCGAATATCCCTGCTGGCTACCACAGCATGCAGGCCTTCGTTCCCTGAAAATCCAGGGAAATTTCTCCCTCTTCTAGTCCAGCATCTCTCATCTTGCTGAGGGCAGGGAAATGCTGGAATTCTAAATGAATTGGGAGCACAGCCAGCAGGGATGATCCATTCTTTGCCATTCCCACTTTTTGTCCTCTTGGTTCTTGGAGCTGGAAACAGCCCCAGGGCTGTTGGAAATAATCCTGAAAGTATTTTAGGATTGAAAAAAGAAAAGGTCGTGGATTCGGCAATCCCAGAGCTTTGTTGCTGTCCCAAAAATCCATGGAATCACTGGGATTATTTGTGTTTTTTTCCTGCTTCTCCCACGTTTTCCTGCAGGGTTGTCGGATTGGAAGGCCAGAGGTTCCTGTGGTTCCTGGGCTGCCCACAGCTCATCCCACATATCTCTGAAATTCCAGATCACTTGGATATTCCCTGATACTCTAATACTGCATCCTAAAATCCCTCAGGAAGAGGGCTGGGCTCCTCCAGCCTATGGATTACCATGGAATATCCCAAGTTGGAAGGGATGAGGCTCACCAAGCCTATCCCTATTCCCATTTTGAAGGCAGATCCATCTGGAATTCCTTTCCAGTGCTCCACCAGCTCCAGCCTCATCCCAAAAGCAGGATGGGTTAATTAATGAGACGTTAAAGAGGTGGAATGACACTTCCAGGAGCTCATTCCTGAGCCACTCTGCTGGAGACAAAGAGAAGGTGCCAGTGGTACTGGGTAATTTGTGTGGCATTCCTGGGGAATAAATTTAGGGAAGCAAATATCGTTATGCGGGATTTAAATTAAAGTTGACACTAATGTAAATACGGCCAAGCAACTCTGTGTTTAAAAACTGGGATGAGGCTCTCGCTTTTTAATCAGCTCCTCTTAACTCCACTGGCATTTCAAATCCAGCGGTTAAATTGGATACAAAGCCAGGAGAAGGAGCTGCTGGAGGGAGCGGCTCCTTCCTGCAGGATGCATGGTCTAAGGGGTGGGATCATGTAGGAAGAGGTGGCCAGGAAGCACCTGGACATGATCCAACATTCCCATGTCCTGTGGAGATTCCCAGCCTTCTGATCCTGCTGCTCCGGATCCAATAGCACTTAGATCCTCTGGAACCCATTAGCATTTGGTTCTTCCCACCTGTGTCCAGCTCATCCCAACATCCGAACCCCAGAGCCAGAGAGAACATTCCTGGTCCTGCGGGGGTTCTCTCGGCTTCCCACCGCACTGCCTCCAGCCTGAATCATGGAATGATTCACGTTGGAAGTGACCCTAAAGCTCCTCTTTTTCCAATCGCCATCAAAGTTAAATCATGGAACTGGGGGAAAAAATCAGGGAATAAAAGCAGCAAAGCAGAGAGGAAGGAGCGTTCCCACCTCAGCTACTTCAAAGCTGGGTGATCCTGAGCTCTGGAATAACAATGGGAGCTCTGTAACCTGGCAGGACTCATTCCTGTTCCAGGAACAATGGCTTTGGCACTGGAATTCTGCTGCCTTCCTTTCCAAGGGAATAAAGTGCTCCTGGCAGTGGTGCCAGCACTGGTTCTCTGCCACGAGATAAGGCCTTGGAATGAGGGATCATTTCAGCACCATTCCAGAGCCATCCCAAAGTTTTCCAGGTTCAGCTTAACAGACCTGGGCCCCTCATCCCCTCTTTGCACTTCCAAAATCCATGGTTGATTTGGGAGTCAAATCCCACCTGAGGTGGGATAAAATCCAGCCCAAATCCATGTTTTCTTTGTGCTGAGAATGTTTATTTCCAACCCCAAAATAATTTTGGGAATGGTGGGAATAATAATAAAAATAACAAAAATATCAGTGGACTATCAACACTAATATTAATAAAAATATTTACAAATATAATAAATCCTTTCCTTGGAATTTTTGGACAGCTTGCATGGAATTCCTGGTATCTCAAATTTCTTGGACAACTGGGGCACAGGGTGTGCAGAGGCAATTCCTGTTGGGAACTGCCAGACACAAGAGGTGATGGGATTAGTTTTAGCCCAGGAAGGTCCCACCTAGAAGAGATGATTCCCACAAGGTATCTCCCACTCCTGGCCTCATACCAAGTTTCCAGAATTCCACCTGCTGCCCCAGCAGAGGATTTCATATTCCTAATCCCAAATTACAGTTTGGGATGTCAAGCAGAATCATACATCCCATTAATTACCCCCCTGGATAGCCCTGAGATTTTAGGAGTGTCCAATTCAGGGGAAAACACTGGGAAAACTCCCTCAAAAGTGCAGGTAAAAGCCTGGGGTGAGGTGATCCTGTTTTTCTGGGAAGGAAGGGGTGTCCCAGGAGCAAGATTTTCCTGGGAGCTATCCCCCAGCACAGCACAGGGGCTGTGTCCACAAACCCCCCCTTCCTGAGGAGTTAAGGAGCTTCCAGACA